AGAAGTCTCTGAAGGAGTTACAATTGAACTGGGGGCCGTTATCAGCGATGATCTGGTTTGGTATCCCATATCTGCAGATGACCGAGCTGAAGAGGAAATCCTCAATTCTTCTCGAAGTCAGACAAGAGAGAGGTCTGGCTTCTATCCTCAATCCTCAATGCACCCACGTGGCTCGTCCGCACCCACGTGGCTCGTCCGCACCCACGTGGCTCGTCCGCACCCACGTGGCTTAGTCAATCCAATAATGGTGACATAGTGCGCCTGACGGAGTAGACGTTTTAGGTGGATGTAACGTGCCTTAACAGAGTAACTGCATTAAATGCGCGTGGTGCATTCTGACGGAGCAGGTCCCTTGAGAGAGGGTGTTCCGGTAAGAATGAATGATCAGGTGAGGACGCGCCTACTGTGGCTGCCATACACTCTCGGCAAAATGCCGAGGTGCGGCAAGCTCTGAGTTCCACAGTCGAAGTGCGGTGATCTCGGAACTTAGCCTTGCGTGTTTTCTGGTCTGGTATAACTGCCCTTACACTTGGTTTTTTTCACTTATCGTCCAAGATTGGCATCACTAGTGGCTCCTCCATCTTGCGGGGGGATGTTAAGGAATGTCCTACTTCTACTGAATCTGTTCAGAATCATAATTTTAGATAGATCCAATATAATCTTAGATATGATTTTTTTGTCTCTTACAATTAATTTTATGATTTTTTTAATCTATGTACGCTAGGGCTGTACTATTGATCTTTGTATATATATTGACAGATCCAATGTAAAGTAATTGAGTTTTTCCTCAATAATATTTTATAAACAGGCACTTCAAACAGGCTGAACGGCTACTTCCTAATGAACTTCCCTCTCCTACCTTCTCTTCTAGTTCGCATACCGTCATGTGGACTTCAATTGAACGCTTTGGGATTCCATGTTTCCCTATAACTGACAGCGCTATGGAAGAGATGCTCTGCATAACTTGTGCTTGGCAGGTAATCGAAAAGTACATAATCCACCACAAAAACTCTTGCTCCGCCCTCTGCTCGTCACCAGATAGTAGAATCTTCGCGTCGACTTGCTCGTGTGCGCTGCTCCAACGCTGGGTTCTAGTGCCCTCTCCTTGCTCTCTCTTTATAGTATCAATCTTCTTATAGAAGAAGAGATCAATCGGAATTTTTCCGTTTTCTCCAATAATCAGTCACCGGATATATTTCTTCGCCTTCCTTTATATTGAATTCAACAAATCTTCGGCGGGATTTATCAAGCGGATGCGGCGTTTGGATAGGTCTCATCTTCAAATGGAGAGTTTTTTTTTTATCATATAGCTTAGCTAGCTACTCCGACCTTAATATGTGAATCTAGAATTTGAAGTTAAAATGCTTTGATGTTTTGTAGTGGACAGTCTATTATATAAGTGCCATAGAGAACTTGT